AGTCAAATTGGTCACTTGGCTCTGCTAGGACCGTAACTTGGTGTTCATTTGACTCTTATAGGAAAAATGCAACGGCCTTAGTAGGAGTCAAACCCACGAGGACGAGGGCAAGGCCTGAGTAGATCCCATGCTCTGGTCACTTGAGCTACGTGGCTCTAGCTGGGGCCGCAAGTTTAAGACCCTCTGGGTCAAGTTACCCCTCCCCCCCATCCCAACTGTGGTTTGAATTGCGGCTACCCGTGAGACCTCGTAGCTCAGGTAGTTAGAGCGGTGAGTGTAATCGAACCCTATCCTTGTTCCCGTGGATTCGAATCCCACCAAGGACGCTAAGATCTTCATAAGTGAGTCAAGTGCACTATTCAGAGCTGATAAATTCCACAATTACCTAATTTATTTCATCATATCTTGCTCTATTTCGTCATCTGCTTTGTTTTGAAGTTTTTAAACTATCGCTGCTTGTCGTTTATTCATGTTTTTTTGTATTTATAGAACTGGGGAAGTAGAAGTAGATGAATAAGATAGTTTTATGTTATTTTAGACCACATTTCATATTCACTTCTCATCTATATTCTGCTTACTTTCGGTTTCATTATAAACAGCTCTCTCGTTTACACTTTTTAATTTCCACAGAAATCAATCGATAAATTGGAGTAAATCAGTCGAGACCAGGCCTATCGCGAAAGTGGATAAAAAATGGCTAACCAGAAGTCAAGTTAGGTGAACGAACATTTTCGATTATTCATCATCAGGCTAGTACACTAATATGAAGGAGGGTAGAGTTTACAAAATCTGAAGCAACCAGTCAGCAAATGTTATGGAGAGAGGTGTTAAAGGATCAAAGGGTCCGATTCTAGTCATAATTTGGAACCAGAGAGGGAGAGGGAAGGGGCTCCGCCAATTAGTTCCTGTCCCTCTGTCATGACTAGCTTGCGTCGAAGCGAACCTTGCCAAAGCTCACGGCCGCTGATTTCGATTTCTGGGGACAGCCAATTACAGATGCCGCAAAGTTAGCCCC